GTGGCCTTGCTGGAGTAGGTGTGGCCTTGCTGGAGTAGGTGTATGGGGGGGGGTGGCAAAATGGTGGGGACCTTTGAGGTTTCAGGTGCTTAAGTCAGGCCCAGTGTCACTGCGTCTTCCTGCTGCCTGCTGATCCGGATGGAGAACTCTCCGCTCCTTCTCCAGCACCATGTCTGCCTGCATGCCACCATGCTTCCTGCCATGATGATAATGGACTAAACCTCTGAACTGTAAGCCAGCCCCAGTGAAATGTTTTCCTTCATAAGAGTTGCAGTGGTTATGGTGTCTCTTCACAGTAATAAAACCCTAAGGCAGCGCCTCTCAACAGAAAGTATGTTTGGAAACTGAGGAGCGGAGGACTGACTGCCTTGGTCTTAGAGATGAGGAGACTAAAGCAAGAGTGGGAAGGGCCTTCCCCCAGAGGCACATGGCACTGGAGGGAAAAAGAGGTGCTAGAATACCCTAAAAGAGATGTTTCCAGGTGGAGAGGTCTCCCTTGTCCCTCACCCAGGTGGTCTCCATGTGCAGGGTCTGAGGCTGCTATGTTCAGGAAGAGCTGGCACCTGCTCAGTCCATCACTGTCTCTTAGCAACTGACTGCACCGTCTCCACAGAGCCCTTGCTGTTTCCTGGGAACGAGTCTGTGTGTCCCTTGATGATTCTCAATAATCAGAGATCAGGTTGAAATAAACCAGACTACATCCTCCCGGGTCAGGGGAGTTCACAGTCAGTCTTCAGCACGTGGCCTGCTCTTTGCTGTACTCACCCTGCTTGGCCTCCACTTGCCTCCATTTGTGCATGAGGGAGGCATGCTCCAACCTTAGGGCCTTTGCTTATGCTGTTCCTGCTGTCTGAACTCCCCACCCCAGAAGCGGGTGTGGTTCTCTCTCACCTGCTTCAGGCCTTCCGCAAGGGTGCCCTTGCCAATTTCCCCCAGCTCCAGGGGCCCTGCCCTCTGTACTATCTTCTCTAGCTCTTATCACTGAATGTGCCACTCATCTTGTCCTCCGTCAGTCCTGCTGGCCTCTGAATTCCAGCCGAAGAGAGTGTCTCTATTATGTTCTGCTGCACTGTAGCCCCTGGGCTGCACACAGCACATGGCATGCACCCCATAAAGATTAACAGAAAGGAAGAGGAGGGAGTTTGGAAAAGACAGATTGGTACAGACCAACACGCTGACTGCTAGGTGATACCTAGCAAACAACTTTTGGAAGAACGAGGGTCAGAGGACAGGGTTCACAACACCACACAGAAGCAAGCAGGCCAGGGACCCGGTCTAGGAAGCTGTGTGACCTGGCGTAAACAGCTCCCCCTCTCTGAGCTTCTCTGTAACAGGAGGGCCACAAGTTTGAAAAATGCTGGAGCCAGGCCTTAGAGAAGATTCCCCCAAGTTCCTGCTGTTATCAACAGTATTAACAGGGGAGGCTCCAGCATTCACACGGGCTGAGGTGTGTGTTAGACTCCAGGGACACCACAGTGACCCAAGACACAGTCACTTCCCTCAATCACTGGTCACCAATAGGGGTAACTGAGCACACCTCTCCTGTTCACAAAAGTACAATGAGGCAAGAGCTGGAAGTCACCCCCTCAAGGGGGCCAGGGAAGGCTTCCTGTAAGATCTGCCATCCCAGCTATGGGGACAGGCCCCAGGGAATAGGAAGGAGAACATTGCAGACAGGCAGAGGTGATGACATACAAAGGCTGGTCACGTTCTCCACTGCACAGCACGGGATGATCACCTTCCTTTCACAGATCTTAAAACTAAACTCAGAGAGGCAGAATTACTTGTTCAGGTCACACAGCAAGTGATGGGCTAAGCCAGGATTCAAATAGGGGTCTCAAGATATGCATAGAGGCCATTGTCCAGGGCATGAGACCACGTGAGGTGGGGACCAGCAGACAGACTGAGCAGCAAGAACACTGGGTCCCCAGATGAGACAAATGCAGAGGCCAGGGGCAGCAGGGAAGGGCTCAGCCCCCACCTCTGCCCTGCCTAAGGGACTCCCCAGCCCCCCACCCCTGCAGAAGGACGGTACCTCCATCAGGTCTATAAGCCACAGCAGCCGCTCCTAGGGAGGGTGGATGGGCAAAAGGCAAAAAGAAAAAATATATGAAATGAATGTCAGGGGATCAAGAGGCAGAGTCATCTCCCCCCCCCCCCCCCCCACACACACCCCATATACAAACACACCTACTGAGGGGAACAGCAGGGTCCTCAGAGGAAGCTGGAAGGCCCTGCTGCTCTGGGGGAGCTGACCCTATCCTTCTCAGGGGTCCCCAGAGGTCGGCAACTTGGGGCAGGCTTGGTGCCAGCATTTCCATTCACAGATGGGAAAAGCAGGCTTGAAGGGAGCAGTTTGTCCCAGGTCACACCTGCTGAGGGCAGGCAGTGATTCATGGGGAATCTGCTTGGAGACTTTGATTCAGCAGGCAAGGCCCTCAGGGATAGCTGCACACCTAGAGCTGAGCTTCAAATAACTGCCCCGGGGAGTCCCTGAGAGAGGGAGGCCGGCAGCCCTCAGCCAAGGGTCTTCCAAAACCTTGCAGTACATCAGGCCCAGTGAGCTCATCTCCAAAGGGGTTGCTTAAGCAGGAAGGGAAGCAGGAATAGGCAAAGTGGCATCTGTTCCAACGCTGTGGCCACATTCCAGTACACATCCTGGGCCCAAGATGGCTTTCTTTTTTTGTTCTCCCTACAAATTGGGAACTTAGCATAACAATTCCCCAACAAGGGAGGAAGCTAAGGCATAAAGAGGTAAAAGGACTTCCCCAGACGCAAGGCTCTGTTAGGCTCCAGGCGTTCCTCTCTGCCTGGGGAGTGTGTCCTGTTTTGACACTTTTGGGCACCCTGATTGGTCACAGATTCTGGAGTGGTCCCCATTTTAGGAACTATGCAAGGGGACTTTTGGGTACTCTCCCATCTCCCCCAAAACTGCTTGTGCAAAACCACTCATGATGTGTGATCTGCTGGCCCAGGGTGTGCCCTGCACACTGGGGCCTTGCTAGTGCTGTTCTCAGCTAACCCGAGGAAAGATTTCTCAGGGATGGGAAGGTCACGGCTACTCTCTACAGACCCCTACCCAGGCACAATGGCCTCTTGGCTCCTCTTGTCCTGTAACCTACTGTGTTCTCAGGACCTGAGGTTGCTGCAGCCAGAGATAGCAGGACGTTATGCAGCTGATGCAGGGGAAACTGAAGCACAAGGAGACTAGGACTTAAACCCAGACTTCCTGCCTCCAAGACCAGAAGAGATTCCATTCAGGCACTCTGGTCCTGACCAAACAAAAGCTGCATGCAGCCTGCACGAACCCCCCTGGGTTTTAGAGCTAGCTGTGCTTAGTGGCTCTTGGAGCTCCTCATGGGCATCTTAAGGCCAAGATCATAAGAATCAGACTTAGAGAAAAGCTGAGTGCAGACCTGGGTCCAAAGCCTGAAATGACCTCATTGTGAGATGCTTCAAAGCCTGTGGTTGGAGCAAACTTAGCAGCATGGGTACAGGGCCTCAGTCTGGCCCTGGAAATGACTTGCCCTTCTGGGGACTTGAAAAACAGTTGTTGCCACACCTACAGCCCTGGAGGACAGGCATGACAATCTCTGGGGTCATCTCAGGAAAGGACAAGGACACTTGAAGATGAAAGAGATGGAGTGAAAGGTCCTCCAGACTCCAGAACTCTAGTATTAAAGAAAAGCCAGAATCCATAGGAGTGAAGGCTGCTCTCTGTGGGGTCACCAGAGAGCCACTAGCTCATTCCTCCTACAGGCTAGCCTGTCACTGAACCTACCAAAGTCTGGCTTCAGAGTCACAGTTACTTCATGCCCTTTCCAAGGATGACAATACCAACTTTGGGCCTCCAGCGCACCCACCTGACTCTCTCTCCTATAGGATACCTGGCTGACCCCTAAGTTAAGAAACAAGGCATTTCAACAAGATGATGGGACAGACTTAGTAGACTTCTTAGGGGAGGAGGCCTTACCCTCTCCGAGGAACAGATGGGAGGTGATAGGGGAATAGGGAGAAGCAGGAAGAGAGGAGGGAGGGGTTACTGGGATTAGGAAAAAAAAAAAAGTAAATGAAAAATAAAAGAAATAAGGCATTTGTTGTTTGGTGTGGTAGCACAGTCTACTCAGCACTCAGGAGGCAGAGGCAGGTAGATCTTTGTGAGTTTGAGGCCAGCCTGGTTACATAATAAGTTCCAGGCTAGACAGGGCTGCATATGTCTCAAAACAAAAGGAAAAAAAAAAAAAAAAAAAAAACAAAATAGGCCAAACAAAACAAACAAACAAACAAATGAAAAAAACTCCAAAGCAAATAAAACCCAAGGCATCTGCCCTTGAGAATCCTGGGAGCAGAATCACATTCCAGGATCAATTAGGTGCTGCACTGGGAGCTGCTGAGTTGGGAAGAAAGCCAAGCCAGGCTTGGAGCTCCAGAGACAACAGGTGGCCTCTTGTAAAACCCAGAACCAGAGTCCAAACCACCATGATTACTACTGTGTCAACACTGATCCTGAGTGGAACACCATGCCTTCCTGTTTGATTTGATCTTCCTGTAAAGTGCACTTAGATAGCTTTTGTTTTGTCTAACTATACTTTAAATTTTTATCATGTGTTTACTCTCTCTCTCTCTCTCTCTCTCTCTCTCTCTCTCTCTCTCTCTCTCTGTGTGTGTGTGTGTGTGTGTGTGTGTAAAACTTGTACAGCTGCCTGCAGAGGTTAAAACAGGGCATCAGGTGGTGCAGAGGACAACTTGCAGGAGTTAGTTTTCTCCTTCCACCATCTGAGTCCCAGGGACTGAACTTGTTTGGTAGCAAGCACCTTTACACTCTGAGGCGTCTTATTGGCTCCTAACTGTCCCTTAAAAAATCCTTTCCCTTAGGATCCCCAGACTAAGAGCCCCGAAGGTGTATCTTTCTTATAGTTCCACTATTCCCGTGTCCAGCACAGTACTGCACAATAGCCAGGCTCTTACAGACGAGGGACCCGAGGCTGGGTGAGGGGAAGGTTAACATCTTAACCCCTGACCTTCTCACCAGGGATAGGGCAGGGGCAGCTCACCCTGGCTGAGCTGACAGTTGTGGAGGTGCCATGGCTGCCTGTGGATGAGCCCGTGTCACTGTAGGATACCACAGAGTAGGTGTCTCCAGCACCAGGGCCTGACGGCTGCCGCGCCTTCATGGACTCGATCTCCCGCCTCAGCACCAGGTGGTCAAGCGTTCCAGGTCTTGGGGTGAGATGGTGCTCCTCACCTCAGACAGAAGAGAGAACTGCAGGGGAGGGTGTGACAAACAGGATGCTCAGACACTCAGTGGAGAGCTCCACCAGCATGTGAGGCTGGTACCTTTATTCTCAAGTGAGCTAGCTGCATGCAAGCCTGCTTTCCCTTCTGTAACCTTCTGTGCTCTCCAGTGTTCTCGGGGGAGCATCCAAATATCTTTACTCAGACACCAGGCCCAGCATCTCCTGACACCTTCTTCTCAGTCGCTCTTCCTTCCCAACACACACAGGTGACAAAGTCCCAGAATACACTACCAAATTCATGCCACAAGGTGTTTGGCCGTCCTTTCTACCCAGAGTGCCCTCTCAATCCTGACTGCCTGCAAACAGTATTTCCCCTTACCTGCCTGAACTTACACCCTCCAACTAGATGTAGTTACTCCCTCCTGTCAGCAGTTTCTGACCCAGACTTCCACATAAGCAGGCTTCTCAAACTGGTGAGCCCCTCCCCTGTCACCCTGGACCCTGTTTGCGAGGAATATTGTGTAATAATGGCCACTGAAGGTGGTCCCTGTCCCCAGACGTCTGAGTTTGGAGGATGAGGCTGCCAAGGTCCCCTGTGTCTACCCAGGGTTCAGTTGAGCTGAGGTCTCTGGTGACAGGGTGGGGGCAGAAGGCACAGGTCACCTTGGCGTGGGTGTTGAACAACTCAAACAGTGCCATGACCAGGGCCTCCACAGAGATGGTACCACCACGGTACTGGTCCAGGTAGTACATCATGGTAGCACGCTCCTGCTCCGTCAGCAGGTGCCGGGCTTGGTCATCCAGAAGTGCACGTGTCTGATTCCCCAGGCTGCTCAGGGTCACCTGGGAGCCAGCTGGGCCCTTGTAAAATCCTGGCTGAAAGACAGAAGGACAGGGAAGTCTAGGCTGCTTGGGAGCCAGAGGACCTGGGGAGAGCCAGCAGCAACAATGCAGAGGGACACCGTGGCTTCTAGGTGCCCTTGGATGATCTATCTCTGATGGCACTGTGTGGTCATCTCTGGCCACAGAGCATTCACGAGGCACCACTTTTGTATTTGTCTCCTGTGTTTCCTTGTGCCTATCCTGTCACACACTATAGATCCTCTGGGCTTTGCTATCTCTCAGTAAGCCGTGGTGATAAGAGCCCCTGCATTTCTAAACTATAACTCAGATCTATGTCCCTAACTCATTCCAAATTATACCAACAGTCTTCATCGCTGGCCAGTTGATAGCACCAGTCTCTCCTCAGTTTCCTGGGCCCACACTGTAACCCTGCTAAGAGAGTCTAAAATGATCTTGGAAACACAAACTCATTCAGTGGCCCCAAAGCCTGTGAGCACAGGTTAGCCTGCCTGTCACTCTGCTCCTAATCCCCACTCACTCTCTTCCATTCTTCCACTAACACATATCCTCGCATACCCTCGTCTGTCTGTCCCAGGGCCCTGGCTCATTCTCTTGCCTTGCATGGCTTGCACCTCTCCCTCTGCTCATTGTCGTCCAGATTTAGTGACCATTTCTTACTCTTTCCTAATGCACCTGGCCTTGACGGTTCCCAGTGTGTTCTCTCATTAGATATTTGTTTGAATGCTTGCACTGGCTTTATTTGTGAGCCTTCCACCGTCTGTGACCTCCCCCGCCCCATTTCCAACCTCGAGGGTAGGGACCTGGCGACTTCTGTTCACTGCCCTTAACCTCTGGAATGAGCACAGTGGCTGGAAGCCAACAAGCATCAGGACTGTTGGGCAAGCCTGCCTGAAGCTCCTGACAGTGTGTCCCACAGATGAAGAGATGTACCTTGTTTGTCCCTTCTTCTGTGAGGTCCCCTGGAAACCTATGGAGAGAAACAAGCCCTTTCAGTGCATGTTAGCACATGGAATGGAGCACACAGGGAGAAGGCTGACCTGGAGCAGGAAAGCCAGGCTTTGTATCTGGCATGGTGGCACATGCCTAGGATCTCAGCACATGGGGAGATCTGAAGATGAAGACTAGCCTGAGCTACAGAGCAAGCTCCAAGCCAGCCTAGGGTATGTGATCTTATCTCAAAAAAATCTTTCCATCCCAAAATAGAGCAAAAGTGTGAGAAATCACATACCCATGCATCATGGCCACTGCTTGGAGGCTGCTGAGGGGTAGGTAACCCCTGAGAGCTACAGGTGGCTTTTAGCCTTCTCCTTTAGCAACATGATGAGCATTGATACATCAGGTAAGGTAGCCTCCCGAATGCTTTCTGTCCTAATGGGACCCAGAGTTCTCTGGTTGACATGGGAGCAACGGGGAGTCGGGAATCATGGGTGTGAGAGCATGAAAGGCCTCTGGCAGGTCAAGCATCCAGGTCAACCATCTCATCCCCTGGGAGGGTGGAGAAACAAGGCTGGGAAGCCCCTAGGGGCAACACGCAGGGACACCTCAGCTTTAGCTCATATGATTATGAGAAAATGTAGGCTTAAGCTGCAAGGGTTTGGGAGTTTAATAAATAATCAGAAATCCAGTTTTTAAACAGGAAATCTCATTTTAAAAATATGCTGGAAATTAAAGTTTTAAAAATATGTAACACTATGTAGGAGAAAGGAAGTGAATAAGGGAGAGAGAAAAGACACTGTTAGGGTGTCTGACTAGGAGTCACCAGCCACCAGGTGGAGATGTCTGTTGGGGACCATGGGTGACAGGGGTCACATTGCTAGCAGACATACAGCCACCCAGCCACTGTGCATGAATTTTGACTTCTAAGACTTTCATCCCAAGAGGACATCTCCTGGTGTCCTCTCTGGCAGTATAGGATGAGGGTGAGAGCCCACTAGGCAACCAGAAATAATTAAGTGGTTTGCCTGCTGGCAGAGACTAGGGACTCTAAGTCCTGCATTTCGGCTTTTCCTGGGGACACTGAGGCTACGACAGGAAAGGGAAGAGCCCATGCTCATCCCAGGGTGGGGACACCAGGCTGAGTCATGTGGCAGAAGATGAGAGGAGCATTGCTTCTCAGAAGTCACCCAAGAGTCCCTGAACCCTGTGCCTGAGGTCAGACCCTGCTGAGTTGGTGGTGCTTTCCCCAATCCGGGAACTGGCAATCCACTTGGTCTGGTCCACGGTGGTACGTGCGTGGGGCAGCCTTCCAACGTCCTTCACAGTCAGGATGAGGTGCCGGGATGACTTGGAGCAGCTTCACCGCCTCGTCATGCAAGATGCTGAGAAAGCTCCGCCCATTCACCTCCAGAATCTGGTCCCCAACCTGCCAAGACCCAACACCATCACATGGGCTGCCCTTGCCCCAGCTCTCCATTTGCCTGATTGAAATGAGGTCATTAGGGTTTAGACAGACTATGTGGATGGCTGAGGGTCACATAAGAAGGAAATGACAACTTCCTCCCAATGCCAGTCCTGAGCCCTGCTCCTGTTGCTAGAAAGGGCACCTCCTATCTAATGACAGCTCTGAGAGTAAGTCAACTATGGCTTTCCCCAAAGTCCCCTGTCTGAAGCAAGCCAGCTCAGAGACAGGCGTCACACGAACTCACTGCAAGATGAGGTGAGGGAAGGCAGACACCTGTTGTTTCCATATCTTATTGAATACTGTTGAGATTTCTTATCTAGCACGTTTTTTTTTTTTTAAAGATTTACTAATTTTATGTATATATAAATGAGTGCACTGCATGCATGTGTGCCTGATGTCCTCAAAGGCCAGAAGAAGGGTTTGAATCCCCTAGAACTGGAGTTGCAGGTGGCTGTGAGCCAACACATGAGAGCTGGGAACTGAACCTGGGTCATCTGCAAGAGCAACAAGTCCTCTTAATCATTGAGCCATCTCTCTATCCCCAGTTCACATTCTTTTGTCACTTTAGAATGTCAGCACCACTTTAATTTACTTAAGGAAAAAAAAAACCCTCAGAAAACGAAAACCACAATAACAGACACCCAGCCTCCCACTGAAGGAGTACACACTGCTCAGAGTCTTATGACAAGCAGGCAGTTTTATTTCATAAAATAAAACAGACAAGCAAGCATGAAAAGATAAAAAGACAGACAAAACCACTAGCTTTCCAATGACAGCAAATCGGAAACAAAGCCAGGAGAGTCAGGAGGAAGGTGCTTCAGTGTGCAATGAGGAGCACTAACTACCCTAGAGTGTGGGGACTCAGTGGTTGGCTTCTCTTCCAGAAGGTTCCCAAGCCCACGGATGGAATGCTGTAACCTGGAGGGTAGCCTACGGGCTATTCTCCTTCTTAGCCTGTATTATCAATAATGGGGGAGTCAGGCCTTCCCATGGGATGAGCTGCTTGTGGGGGTGTACTTTCTGTTGATGTTGCTGCCTCAGAGTCGTTTATGCTACTGTAGGTAACTTCAGTGAACTCTCTGGTTCACTAAACTGGACCTGGGAGGAACTGCTTCCTCTTTGGTTTGGCACTGATGCCTTGTGTAGGGAAAGGAAATATTTGTTTATTTACCCTCAGGAAAAGCTATACAACAGGATACTCATCCTCGGTTTGTGGTCACAGCACTAGTAAGGGGAACTGCATCATGTAAAACATGGGTCAATGTGGCCCAAGGCCAATTTGCTTCCTATTCCTGCAGCCTGTTGCTCCTAGGGAACCGTATGGCTTGGCTCCCAACCCAGCCTAATCCAAAGCCACCTTCTTTAGCTCTGCCTACAACAGCCAGAGGTTGACTCTGACCCAACCACCAACTCTGCCTGTATTTCACCAGCAAGTCTCATTCGCTCTTCCCCTTCCTCCACTGATGGCCTCTCTCCTGGGTCCCCACCTGGTCATCTGGTGGCTCCTGACTCAACATTTCATCTCTGTGGGTTTATATGCAAATGACCACAGTCATCACGTAGAAGACTGTGGTTAAGGTCTTCAGAGACCATCAGAATTGGGTTCAAGTCCTGTTCCTGTTATTCCCATGCCATATGACATAGCCCCACAACCTGCCTCCCTCCTAGTAGCTTTCATGCCCCACTTTCCTTGGGTGGGTACGAACTGGGGCCTTGGCCCAGGATTGTCCTCCAAATGTCTAGCTATTTGGGCTTGTCTTTATACACCACCAAACATTGACAACATTCATAATGACAAGTCTCACTCACTTGCCACTGGCTTCCCTAGTTAGAAGACTGAGTACCTGAGATTGTAGACAGCCCACTGGGCTCCCAATAAAGAATGTGGAACAGGACTCAACAGTGCCTTAGGGCATTGCCAGCAAGTGCTCAGTAAATGCAGCTTTCTCCGGATGGTTTGAGTTTTGTGAGCTCTACCTTGGCCCACCTTTCTTGGCCTACTCTGAAGCCAAGCAGCTGAGCCCAACACAGGAGAGCCCAGCACTAGCCTTCCTGTGCATAAAGGGAAAAATGACCTCTCTCCACGGTCACCTGCCTAGAGCCTGTCAGGCAGCACCCCTGGATATCTGATATCACAGCACTGTTCTGGAGTCTCTGCCACGGGAGCCACGGCCAAGGCTGTACCTCTTATATTCCAGTGTTTTGTTTTTGTAAGTGTCCCTCTGCAGCTTCAACTTTTAATCTTCCTTTCCACTCACGTTATTACAGTTTAATTAAAGGCACTGTGTCTGGGAGAGCAGCTGTGTCCAGGCATGCTTCAGAGAGCTGGGCTCTGGATCCTATCGGGGGATGTCCAGGAACGAATAAGCTCATTCATAGACCTGTGAGACTGGACCAGGAGCCAGATAAAACACAGGTCATCTTGTTAAATGGGAGCTTCAGATAAGTGGCAAATACTTAGAATGATGGATGCATACCCCCAATATCCAGGGCCACCACTTCAATTCCTCCCAGTGGTCCTCTTTGCTCACATGAACCGTCTATGGCTGTGGGCCCCCTTATGCTCACTGCTTAGGTCCAAGAGAAGCTACAAATCCCCTAAAGGGACCAGGCTACTGATGGGCTATTGTGATTCTGAATTTCAGCCTGACCCCTAGCTTAGATTCAGAGCCTATCATTTCTATAGTCTGAGCCTATGAGGGGGTCCAGCATAGTGCAGGATTCAACTACACCCTGGATATCTATGTGTTGGAATCTCAGGTTGACTGGCTGAGCACTGCTTCCTTGGGCCTGTTGAATAAGCCTGTCCCTGTGGGAGGAGGCTGAGGTGACAGGGCTTCCCTGCCATCCAACTGGAGAACAGATGGGGGTCAGAGTAGGACACATGTCACCCAGATGGATGCCTATGAGTCCAATTCCCTCATCCCTTTTTGGCCTCCAAGGGCTAAGCAGAAAACTCCCATGTTTGAGGGGTTAGTGATGGGCCCTCCATGTTGACCCCCCCTAGTATGTGACCTGGTCCAAGTCACTTCACTATCTAGGTTCCTTTACTCCCTCTATCCCTATCATCGTCGGACAGTCTAGTGGTTTGAATGAGAATGGCCCTCATAGGCTCATGTTTGAATGCTTGGTTTCCAGTTAGCTTGGGAAGGAGGAGGAGGTGTGGCCTTGTTGGAATAGGTGTGGCTTTGCTGGAGGAGGTGTGTCACTATCAGTAGCCTTTGAGGTTTAATAGCTCCTACCAGGGCCAGTCTATTCCTACCTACAACTTATGCATCTGATGTGAGCTCTCAGCTAGTGCCTGCCTGCTCTGCTCCCACACTCCTAGCCATGATGGTCATGGATTAACCCTCTGAAACTGTAAGCCAGCCCCAAATCAAATGCTTTCTTTTAAAAGCTGGTGTCTCTCACAGCAGTACAACAGTAACTGAGATCGAACGAAGGCTTCGTGCACCCAGCAGCTCTGTGGGCTCAGACACTGACTGCTCAGTGTGACTCTTCAGGTGACAAATCACTCTCAAGAAAAGCCACTGGGCCTCACTCAGTGTGCTCCATGGAGTGTGGAGCTGTGTCTCCACTACAGCCTTCCTTCAGAGGTCAGGCAAAGATGACAGTAGCCAAGTGGCCTACACTACTCTCTCGAGTATTCCCCAAGTCTCAGTGTTCTTATATGGTGTTCTAACCAGTCCCCCGGGTCACCGTGAGAACCACTAGGAATTCCACAAACAGAAGCAGATGCACATGGCTCTCTATAGCTCTCCATCTGTTTCCTTCCAAACAGAAGAGACAAGTTCAGAGACACCAAAGTCATGCCAGAAATGAACAAATGAACAGCACTAAGCCCACACTCTCAGGTTCAACACCCCCCACCCCCACCACCTTCATTAGCTCAGAGAAGGGTAAGGCAGTGAGGGGATGTGGATCTCCATCTTTCCATGGCTTCTTTTGGCTTGTGTCATAAAGTTGGGGGGGAGGGTATTCTTACCCTCTCAAAGGGAAAGCTTGGGTTCTGCCCATTGAGATGTGAGTCTTTCTTCCTAGCCCAGACTGAGAGGTCATGTGTACAAACAAGGTGAAAATAAAGGAGCAAAACACTATATCAGAACCTTTCCTGGGGTCTCCTACACGTGGAGAAACTGAGGCTTGGCAAGGACATGTCACAACAATGCCCTGAAACCAGTGCTCTCAACCCTGGTCCCTGAGCAATGTGATGGACCATCTATTACTGCTTAGCTTGCTGTGGACACTGCCAGGAGGATGGAGAAGGATAAGTGAGGAAAGGCAGCTTTATTTTATTGGTCACCATGGCCACCCTTTGCAGCATTAGTGATGGAGGAGAACTGGGCCATGGGAACGCCCTTCACTTTAAGGCAGAGAGAAACCTGTGCCATCATCTCCAGGCCCCCTAGGGGCAGGCTCATGTTCTAGTGCTCTGAGAAAGCGAGAAACACAGGGCACAGGGCTCTGGCTTTCCTGAGAACTGGGCCACCAGGAGCCAGGATCCACAACCTACAGTGTGGGACCCATTCAGGAACACCACAGGGAAGTGGCCCTCAGAGGCAGCAGGGTGGCTCGTGCAGCCTCCAAGAGACCTAAGAGGAACTTTTCCATGATTCTAAGCCTCTACCCTTAAAATGGGAACAACATCTTTGTGACTGGGCCACCCAGACTGCTGTGTCACAGACCATAGGGAACAAGGGTTTTTGAAGAGGATCTTGGAGTCTAAGCCCAATTCCGGAATCTATTTATTTACCCACTGGGCTTCTGTGTTACCTTCTCTGGAAAACCCAGAAAATATCAGTCACTACTCCTGAGTGAGTTAGCATGCCTGCACTGTGTCTTCCATACTTCAAACACACTTATTAGGTCCTCAACAAACACAGGATGGACCTGCGAAGAGCACAGGAGACTGCTTATGTTCAGTCAGCACTCAGTGTGTTAGCTGTATTTCTGAAGACTCC